GACCACAATCCCTCTGGGTCCTTTCGTTTGTTGTGGTGCGGTCTCGTCTCTGCTAACTGTAATATTGAGCTTCTTTGGCTTCTTGTTTCCAGAACGAGTCCAATAATTTATCGCATCCAAGTATTTAGCCAAATAAGAGCTCCATCCCTTAATAATATCTCTTAAATCAGCCAATGATATGTAATTTATCATGCTGTCATATACTATTGCCTTAAGGGATGGGATCTGAAGCTCGACGAGAAGCCAATGGTTACGTTCCAAAACAGGGATAAACACCTGCAATCATAAGTAATAATTCATTCATTTGCGCACTTATTTATGAATACCTTTAAACTCAATCTAAAATAAACACTAACCTTATCGACCTCCCACCATGCAGGATAAAGTTTAGCTTGTCCATTGCCCAACGCAAATGATTCATCTCGTTGATTCTTCAAGTGAACTGCGTTAAAAGCCGTCGGCATTATTGTATACCGTGTATTTCTTTTATTTTCCTTAAGTTTCCTAATTATTAGTAGACGTGACACCCACGCATCGATATGCTGTTTTACAAAAAAATACATATATTAGTGAATTACATTAATTTTAAAAAATTAATCAAATGAAAATATAAGAAAAATATAAGACTTACCCCTCCATCGAAATAGCCATTGTCTTCGACCCCTAATAATACGCCCCACCAAGACCGATCAAGCAACAAATAGATATCATCATTGAGCTTGCATATGTCAGTGAAACACCCCTTGCTTCGCTCATGTAGATAAAAATCAACTGCGGTCTTAGCCCAAAGGGTGTTATCCAGAATTGTGTCCGGTAGTTGTTTCCTCTCCTCTTCAGATACCGGTATGGTACTGGCCGGTAACTCATACGAGAGCCAACTTGAATCCATCATGTCCGGCACGTCAGAGGGTTTCTCAAGAATCCTACATATGACGCCATGTGAATCGGGCTCTTGAATGGTGGGAGGGACCTCTTCAACGATGACAGTGGCCTCTTGAACGGTGGGAGGGGACTCTCGAGGAATGATAGGGGCCTCTTCAACGATAGGAGTGGACTCTTGAGGGATGATAGGCGAGTCGGGCTTCTTCTTGCGGTGTCTTCGCACTATTGGGGTATACGGAGACTTAATAGCACGTGTACGCCGTCTGATGCGTGAACTCTGTCGTGCAAGAAAAACCCGACGTAAAGCATCCACCTTATCGGTCCGCTAAATAAAAATACAAATATCAGTAAATAACAGACATGATATTTAAACAGTGAAAACAAAGATAAATATATTCAAACTTTCAACCAAAAGACAAAACAAAGACAAATACTAACTTCACAGTGTTAAAGTAAAAAGTTTAGCAGTTTTGGCAGCAACCAAATAAATTTACTAAGCAATCTAAGTGAAATGGTTAATTTAAGTGAAATTACGAGTAAATTTATCATCAAGTTAAATATGGAAAATCTTAAACTTACCTCGTTGCGTAGTATGAACCTCATTCTGCAACGATACTACCATCTCACGTAGAGCGGCAACCTCACCACGTAAAGTAGACACCTCCACACGCCATGCACCATCGTTATCGCGTAGAGTACCGATCTCCTCACGCAAGGCATTGACCTCATCACGTAACTCCCTTGACTCATCCCGTGGAGGTGGAGAACAGGGAGATAGAAGTCGTGGCATCTTTGTCGGTCGCCTATCATGAGGTGATGGTGGAGAAGAGACTCGATGATGTGACGGGATAGGTGATGGCTCTCGTTGTAGAGGTGTATAGTCGGGTCGATCAGGTGATGGCTCTGGGTGAGGTGATGGCTCTCGAAGTGGAGGAAGTGGAGGCTGCTCATCATTCGTGCCATCAAAAAAACGCTGACTAGCTTGCACCAATCAGTGGCAAGCTCAGCCTCCGTGGGTGTCAGTCTCATTAATGGAGTGTTAGCCTCCTAAAAATATAAAAACTAAACAAAGTTAAATGTCTACTATTAAACTTGTTTATATATGATAGTATTTGTGTTAACTTACATTATTTATTGTCGCATATGGTATTAAGTCTTCCCAATCCAACATACGTTTCCTCTTCCAGGAAATAGCCCTAGGAATATCATCTGAGGATTTTAATGCATATGTCCGCATGCTGGGGAAAGCCTCGAATATCCAAATCTACAAACAATATAATAACAAACATTAGTAATTGTTAAATAATTAATTATAATTTTGAAAACATTATATAGAAATTCTTACCTTAAAGGCCCAAACAAAGCCTGACAAAGTGTATTTCGACCCATCGCCCCGCAAACTTTTGCGGTCATCAAAGGCAGACGACAACTTAGTCCAGGTAGCTTTCCATATACGAACCCCACGGAAACAGATTCTATGCATTTAGGTCCTCTACCAATAATATTAGCTCCTGAGGAATAGGTTGTCTGGCCTCTCTGCCTAGAAAGCCGGCATACAAAAGTAGTAGAAGGCATACTCGGACAACATCGACGTCATTCATCCGAGTAAAACCATCTTTCTTATTAAACAATTTCTTCATGTCGTCGACGTGTAAGTTCGGCTTCTCTATTGACTCATCAGGAAAAACCCTGGATAACCATGATGGGCGGGTGATATGACGAGTGTACCGGCCTACATCATCGTGTCCGAATCATAGACCAGTGATTAAGCATAACTCCTTCCGCCCAAAACAAGTATACGCCGGTGGAAAATGAAACCATATCTCTTCCTCACCACGTTGTATACTGTCGGGTAGATCGCTAGTCATGGTCTGAAGCCACAATGGGTCAAACTAGCATCTCCACCCGGATGCTGTACTCTCAGCCATGGCCCGAAGCAGGTTTCTTCAAACAATTTTCTTTGTGCAGGTGAAAGCTTCAAAGCAATTGTAGTGGCTAGGCTAACTTTATTCCTTAATGTCAATGAAGCCGAAAAAATTTCTACAAAAAAACAATAAACATACCAAGTTAGATATACCAAAATACACTGTCAAGATATACAAAAAACAAAAATAAACATAAATAGTAGTTTATTCTTGAAACTAAAATTTGCAACACTGTTTTTGTCTTTTGGTTGAAATGAAAATCGCAACGAGATAATGAGGATCGCAACGCGGAAATGACTATCGCAACGAGAGAATCGCAACGCGAAATGACTATCGCGACCAGACAATCGCAACGCGAAATGAAAATCGCAACCGCGAAATAAAAATCGCAACGCGAAATGAAAATCGCAATGCGATTTTGGTTTCGCGTTGCGATAGTTATTTCCGCGTTGCGATTTTCATTCTCGAAACTATTCTTCTTCTGCATTACTTCAACCAAAAGACAAAGCAAAGACAAATACTAACTTCACAGGCTAAACAGTTTAGCAGTATTGGCATCAATCGAATGAATTTATAAGAAATCTAAGTGAAATGGTTAATCTATTATTGAAATTACCAGTAAACTTATCATCAATCTCAATATGAAAAACCTAAAATAATGCAAAAATTCAAAATAAAAATAAAAAAAACTAACCCTCGGAGGTTGATTTTCCATTTCTGAATGATTGTGAGGGATTTTGACTGTGAATGGTTGTGAGGGATTTCGCCGGCGATGGGGACGGAAATCTTCGGAGATGGGGACGGATTTCGTCGTAGAGAGTGAGAGATGGAGATGAGACTGAGTGTTGTGTTTTTGGGTTTGAGGTTATGAGTTGCGATTATTGTGGACGGTTCATTTTCCGATTTATTAAGAAAAAATACGTGTTTGGAATTTGAAAAAAAAAATACGCGTTAATACGAATGGCGCTATGTAAATCGCGTTGCGAAAGTCAGTATCGTGTTGCGAAAGTAAGTATCTCGTTGCGATTTTTTATTATCGCATTGCGATAGTAAGTATCGCATTGCGATTTTCCCAATTCGCGTTGCGATTTACTTATTCGCATTGCGATTTTCCCAATTCGCGTTGCGATTTACTTATTCGCATTGCGAATTGGGAAAATCGCAACGATACTGTAGACCATCGCAACGCGATTTTCAACTATCGCATTGCGAAAATGCAACGCGAATTTGCGATAATGGAGATCGTGTTGCGAATTAGCGATCGCATTGCGATTTAGCGATCGCATTGCGATTTTGTTGGTCATTTTGGCAAATCCGAAAAAAGTTGGTTAAAATCGTATATTATATGGGATTTTTGGTCACTGAGGTTATTTTCTCTTATTAATATTGTGTTTGATACTTACACACTACCTTTACCTCATTTAATAATTCTTATTTTTCTATGTAAAGATTTACATAAATATAAAAAATAAAAATATCAGTATAATATTTATAAGGGATAAAAATATTTTTTTAGTAGGATGCTGTTTATTTTTTCCACTTGCGGTTTTAAAATTTTGTTCGTCCTGATCAATTTAGATTGATCTTTAATATATATTTAATTATAGTATATAAATATATAAATTTAAACTTAAAACCTTACTTAAATAATATTAAAATAATTATTACGTAATTGTTTTTTTCTAATTATTCTTTCATTTTCAAAGTCAAAGGATTCGTGTCCGGAAAATTTATTAAAAATATAATAAAAACAGTTCCGACCCTCTTTACACGAAACCAAAAGTTGATGGTACAAAAGTCAGACTTATCAAATATACTTTATTTATTTTTCTTATCAAATTATATAATTTATTATTAATCAAGAATATAATTTCTTTTCCCTTTATATTTAAATTTATGCAGAAAAGATTTTAATTTCAGAAAAATTAATATTATCTTCCAGTAAGATCTTTAATTAACATCGTGATTTCACTTAAAATGATAAAAAAAAACTAGATGAAAGAGATTGTTAAATGTATCTCAATATTTAACTAAAATCAAAATCAAATTATGATTTCTTCTAATAGGTTTGATTGTAAAAGCCTAAATATAGTAATAATCAATTATTACAGAAGAGAGGGGTCATAATTAAGCTTAAATAAACAATTAAAATTCAATAATAAACCCACGTGCTGAGTCATCCCTGTTTTGCCAGCTTCCGTCCCTGACCTCTTCTCCGAAACTACATTACCCAACCATTCCACCAAAAAACTTACCTTCATCCAAAAAAATGGCAAGACTGGCTTTTTTGTTCTCCCTTTTTCTCCTCTTCACCTTATCTCATGCCCGTTTCCTCACCGCCGACGAAACATCTTCCGATTTACCTGAATCCAACCCTGAGTCCACAACCACAACCTCCATCTTTCTCCCTAGCGAGAGGCCCGATCTCAACAACGATGATGCCTCCGGCATCGGATCCATCCCTTTGACCAGGATCCGTTTTCTTCCTGTAAATCGTCACTTCCCAAGGCGACCTTTGTTTCCTTTCCGTCACAAGCACAGCTGCCGTTTCCATAAACGTTTCAGGACTTTGAACCCACGCTTCCATCACAAGCGCTTTATTTCTTACGGCAACGACATGATTCTGTCCGACGATAAAAGCTTTGACCCGGAGTCACACGGTGTGTTCGTCAGGTCGACGCCAGATGGGGCAGTTTTCACGATGATGGCGCCCAGTTTAAGCACCATGATCAAGACCGTGAGGATGATCATCACCACCATCATCATGACCATGACCATGAGGAAGATCATCATGACCATGACAATGAGGAAGAGGACGATCATCATCACCATGACCATGAGGAACAGGACGATCATCTTCACCATAAGGAGGGAGAGGCAAGGGAAAAGGAGCACCGAGGAGGCAGGTTCACGGAGAAGTTTCGCAGGTTCTTTATTCATTTTTGAATAAACCATGCACGTAATATAATCATAGTGATCTAGTTATGCATCTATATCTATATGCATATTCGAGTATTTTCACCCACTGTTATCAGCCCTGACAGTATGCCAGGGTATTTACTATTTAGTCTACTTTCTTAAGGTACTAAATAAGATCGCCTTCCAGATGAACAATACGATAATTCCTTGTATAATACTCATCATATTATAAGACTCATATTGCTAGATCACATGTTTTCACGAATTTTAGTTTTGCAATTAAAGAACAAAAGAGAATCAGAAAACTAATATCAATGGATCTTAGAAATGGTTGGCGCAAGAACCACCTTGTTGTGGACTAGTGAGTTCGGTGCATGGCCATGGGCTTACCTCGATTGCAGCCCCACTTACATCTGAGCATTTCCATGAAGGCGTTGCTCCTGTCGTACCCTGGTAGCTAACGTTCGAAAGACAGATGCCGGTGAAAGGGGCATCCTTGAGGCCTTGCATCGAACCTGCTCGCTGCACCTCCACACCCCAAATGTTCTTTAATATAACACCGTTGACTAATGGGAGGGCGTTTGGGTTAAAGTTGTTATCAGGGTGGTCACCGGTGTCGCCTGCTACTTTTATACCCGTTCTTACATTTTCCATGAACACTTGAGACACCGTGATGTTCTTTATAAACCCTCCCCTTCCGATGTTGGTCTTGATGTTAACACCAACTCCGGTGTTGTAAAGAACAATGTTCTCAGCCAACACATTCTCCACGCCTCCGGATGTTTCACTTCCCACAGCGATTCCAGCAAATGGGGTTGTCCCTGTTACTCGTCGGATGGTGATGTAAGAACTGGGACGTCCATAAGCGATCCCATATTCATCCCATCCACTCTTTACCGCCACGAGGTCATCACGGTAGAAATGAACGAGTCTTCTATACAGACATTGGAGCTTGAATCTGTATGTATGAAAGTAAACAAGTAATGTTGAAAATGAAACCCTGAGATGAATTCAACGAATGAAAACTGATTTCATTATCTTTTTACCTGGATCAATCCCATCTGTATTTGGGGAGTCAGGTGGAGCCAGGATGGTAATATTCCGAATAACAACATCGCTGTAAAAAGTATATAAGCAATCAATGAAGGATTACAATGTAAGAATCAATGGAGAAATTACCTGCAATAAACAGGGTGAATGTTCCAGAAGGGGGAATCCCTGAAAGTGACGTTGGAAATGAGAATGCCATTGGAATTCACAAATTCAACGAGATTTGGTCTTGTAAACTGAAGAGTCCTCTGCCTCCACATGTTCCACCAGATACCTCCTTGACCATCAATTGTGCCATTCGCACTGTTATGGTTGAAACAAAACAAACCATGGATTTTAAATTGAACACAAACCTTCAATAGATAAGTCAAATATTAGATCCATTAGGTTTAAATGATTCATGATGGTTAATGGTAGAAGAAATAAATATACGAGGAAAGGTAGCAGAATATTCACAACACATTAATAACAGGACATACCAGTGATGATCACATCTTGCAGTCCATCTCCATGAATAAAGCTCATATATCTTCCTCCGGGGTGCTCCCTTCCCTTCCATAAGATGGCAAAGGAGCAATTAACGGCCAATTCAAAGTGTCCTGAGAGAAGTTAATCCAGCAAGAAAGTTTTAAGAATCTCCAACATATCATACCACATTCAGATTGTTCACTGTTATTTTAATAACAATGTTAGAGATTCAGATCTGATTTCATGAATGCAACAAATTAAATTGGAAGAATATATGTTTCTGCTTTACTCAATCTGAATTAATCAAACAATAGATCAAATATCGATGATTAAAAAAATAAGCATGTAATTTTAGTATTTAATGGATATAACCAAAAGTTTATAGACTAAATAAAATAGGCATGACAAAAAAACTTTTATCGGTTGATTAAATTGTCATTTTTGCCGTTATTTTTTTAGAACATTTTGACTATTAACGTTTTGATATTAATGGATAAAAATTCATTAATCAACAAACGATTAACATTCCAAATAGAAGATTTTTTTTCTTTAAAATAAAATGTTGAACGATTAACATTTCAAATAGAAGATTTTTTTCTTTAAAATAAAAAGTTGAAAGTCAAAATACTTAAAAATAATAGCAAGAGCTAAAGTGATTATTTAATTAAATATTAATAATCTTTTTATCTTAAAATAAAATATTAATACCAAATAAATGAATAAGTTAAGAATCAAAATAATTATTTAATTAAATATTAAATACATATTTTATATTATACCAATAAAATAATAAACACAGGAATAGAGGTGTATTATTAATTTAGATTAGATATCTCCAAGTTGACCGATTCAATGCATGCCAGCTCTATGAGGTCCACAATGTTCTTCTCATTTGACATTTCTTAACACCCAAAGCTGCACTATCATACAAACTTTCTAGACCACCCAGAGCAGAGCCAAACAGTGCCTTAATGAAGGCCAGTTCAACCATATCTCATACAAACTGCACTATTATCTATAAAGCAACCAATGCCGAAATCTTAAAGGAAAAGGACAATAACAAGAAAAAAAGCAAGAATAGCAGTCCTGAAAAAGAAGATGACCCTTGCAATTATTTCATAATTAAAACCCAGATTACAGCTAGCATTACCATTTAAGAAGGAAGTAGTTCAATATAATCAATGATTAATTCATTTCAAGTTTCACCTTGAAACATAGAGATCTCCATCGTCAAAATTTCCAAATTACTCTGCCAAAAATGGGCAAGAGAGTAATATCAGAAGCTAAAGATCCGAGTTACCTGAGTGGCTTTGATGACAGCTCCTTGAGCCAAGTAAAGCGTCATGTGGCTAGTAAGATTGAAACTGTCCGTTAAGTAAACCCCAGAAGGCACATAAAGTAGCGTGCCACCTCTCCTTCTCAGATGCTGAATCCGATTATAGCTTTCCGGAAGGCCTTGGTATTGAGCGTCTTTCCGTCGCCGACACCACCGAAGTCCTTTATCGATATCGTTTCGTTCCTATACTCATGGGCACAATCCCAGAGCACGTTATCGAGTCCCCATTAGAAATGGGAACCCAAAATGAGGCTTCAAGGAAGAAGCAACAAAGCAAAACCAAACCCCTGCTCGTAGCATTCTGTTTATTTGAAGAAAGAGAGAGAAAATTGGGTTTCTTTCTGGATATTTCTTTTAAGTAGTAAGTAGTAGCAAAAGATCAAAACGAGAAGTGAATGAGAAGTCAAAAAAGGCTCGAGGGAGAAAAAGGAGAGTGTAAGAGTAAATGGGCTCACAGATTCTAAGCTTTGCTTTACTAAACCAAAAAACCAATAACGGAGGGTAGGCATCGCAAGTCAGAAGAAATGCATGATCCATTAAGTAGAGCCTGGGAAAAGGACGAAATTGTGATTACCTTTTTTGGTTAATTTTGTGTATGGTATATAGATTATATTTAATTTTTCAATGTATGGAGTACAAATTATTTTATTTTTCTTTAATTTATACATAAAATATTTGCTGTCATTTATTTTGATCACGAAATCTAAGCAAATGACATAGGAACAATCAAAAAATACATGCGACATTACTTTAAAAATTATTTACTTAAAAAGTATAATAATAAGATTATGCTTCAAAATTTTATTAACTATATTGAAAGTATTGACCTCCGTTCAAAATCAGAAGAAGGGTTGTCTTAACTTCGATCGGAGGGTCACCTCCATTTCAATGTCGGAATCAGAATCATAAGGGTTGCCTCAACTTCGATCAGAGGAACCACCTCCATTTCATCATGAACGTACTTTATAAATAGCAAATCATAAACGTACCATGGAGGAACAGTCAGTAGATAGAGTAGTCAGAGGCGAGGAGAAAACAAAATGCCCCATTCTGTAGTCTCTACAGGTTGGATCCTCTCATCGAACACTCTTAAGTGGATGCTTGGAAAAAACAATATGCAAAGGACTAACATCTAATGATCTCAATCGCATCATGATGGTTCTCAATATTTTTTGATCACATGACTAATGTCAAATCTACATGATACGTCAAAGTCATTTTATTATCTGAAATCATCTCTTTGTTCTGCTATCCAATAGACAATCATCATAATTTTAGGTCAAACACAGTAACGATTAATATATAAATCATATGATCTGAGAAATAATTATAATCCACCAATACTAATAAACCTCACCACTACCATCCGGAACCGTCGCTCTTCATGAAATCCGTGAATATCAAAAGAGCTAGCTTTTGATTCACAGTTACCCTTCCAAACTCATGCAGCGAGTGCATAATCTATGCCAAGAGGATGACCATTATGTCAATGTTCGATATTCAGCTTACCAAGGGAATCCAGAGGATGACAGGCGGGTAGGCGGCCAACGGAGACAGAAGCGACGAAGGACGGCGGACGTAGAGTTAATGTTTTGGGATTTTAGAGATATTTTAACTTTTTAAGTAAAAATAATTTTAAGTTTTTTAAAAAATTATAACGCATTACGTATCACATTTTAAATGATTGGCAATATTTTTTTAACGACCGTGACGAACTAGACACTTAAAATCATAATGTTGAAAACATTTGATATCTATTTCGACCGAAATTAACTTTAAGCATTTAAACGAGAAAAGAAGTATAGATTTTGGATATTTCTTTAATTAAGCTAATTTTTTTAAAAAAATAAACTGAATGTGATATTTTTGAGGGGTAGAAAATATTTTCACCATTTCATTAACTTCAAACTTTACAATTGTTGAGAGACTTAAACTGTATTTTATTTCATTTTGGGGACAAGATCCTGCTTGCCCCTTGGATACGCCCCTTGATGATTCTTCTTGAATCAAAGGGAGAATAGGGTTTGCTTGATGACAACCAAATTCATCACAAAAATGAACCTAAGCCTGACTAGGTATGACAATTTAATCTAAAATTGATAGATTTGATTCTATCAAATTTGATATAGATGAATTTTTTAAAATATTTGGGTTCAATTAGGTTAGATCAGATTTTTTTAAAAGAATGATGTCGGGTTCGGGTGGAGGGTGAAAACTCCCACTCGACCCTATCCAAGGTAATAATGTAAATTTTTTCAAATAAATTTATGAATGTCGGACGAAGATATATAGTTTTTAAATTGAATTGAGTTTAAATAGAACATACATATTTAGATTGGTATAAATTAAAAAAAAAAACTCAATTCAACTCTACCCCGTTACGATCCTGCCCTTGATAGATTTGTCTCTATCCATCAAAGCCATTGCCAAGTCTCACTAAATGATTAGACACAAGTGAGCTTAATCTTGTATTATGTTTACGCATCTTTCAATATTTTATACTTGCTGATTGTGATAAGAACTAAGCAGATTTAATTATTAATTTTATTTTTTATTAATAATAATTGATTATAAAATATATATATTCGGAAGATTTAATTTTTTGATAATTAATATTTAAATATTTTATAAATGACGCGTTTGAATCCAAAACTTTAAAGATAATCTTAATCTCGGAATTCACTTACAAACGCACAACTCCCTAGATTATAATCCCCAGCCAATTTAGCATAATTTGAAACGGAAGTAGCAAGAATCTTATTCCTACAAGCCCAAGCCAGAAAACACTAAGCATAACAACGAAAGTTACCATTTTTACACTACTGAAACACAAAATAGAAAAACAGTCTCTCCCGGTGTTTATCTGCTGAAATTTTCACTTTGTGAAAAGATTTGAAGCAGATAATGTTATATCCCTAATTAGCGAGAATCTCCCATAACAATTCAGCATCAAAAGACGGCATTCTTGCAAGCCAACACTCCTCGTATTGTTGTTCCTCCACCATCATTATCGGATAATCATTCGAAACAGAGGACGCCGAATTCTCACATCTCCAAGATCCACCTTCAGACAAACTCGGTGACAGCAACTCGTTGCTTAAACTCTCACTCAAAACCGCCGGCGATAAAGATGAAGACGACGAACTCGGTTCCGTTACCTTAACTTCAGGGGAGGAGGCAGCAGCAGCAGGGTGGTTGTAGTTGGCCTTTTTGGCTTTCTTTTTAGCTCTCTCTCTTTTCAGTTTTTGATAAATGGCTTGAATCTTTGAATCCACTGTGTTCTTCAGTGCATTCAACCGAGCACCATGGCCGAAACCCAGATTACTTGGATCCTTGAGGTTTTGAAAATTCAACCTTGCGTATTCCCCTCTAAGCTTATAAGCAGCACGATCGTATGCATAAGCGGCGGCTTCGGCTGTTTCGTAAGTCCCTAACCACACTCGCATTCTGTTCTGCGGGAGTCTAATTTCGGCCACCCATTTCCCCCACTGTCTTTGCCTCACCCCTCTGTATTGCTTCTTCTTTGGAGGACTAAAGTAGCTGCTCGTCGACGCCGGAGAAGGAAAACGAAGAGAGTTGCAGGAGAAGGAATCGTTCTGTTTGTTCTGTTGACTGAACTTTTGTAGCTGGTCTCGCTGGCGGAGATAGACTGAAGAGCCTAATGGCTCGGTGGTGGTGGTGGTCGTGGATGGTGGACAATGAGAGAAGATTGAATCTAGGGTATTTGAGCCACCCGATAATATAAGCTGGGACAGGGAAGACCCAATAGCAACACCATTGTTGAATCCAAAAGGATACTCGATTTCTTCCATATTTTTTTCGTTGTATTATGAAATAAAACAGGGGAGTCAAATTTGAGAAAAACGGGAGATCTAAAAAAAACTGCCCCTTTTCCCTCCCTGGAATGATTAAATCAAAGATGGAAAAATATATCAAAAAAACTAAAAGTTTAAACGAAGAAGAAATAGAAGAAACCCAGATATTATATGCCGAGGGGGCGAGGTTGAGCTTGCTATATTTATAACCCTCTGCAGGAGAGAGTATTTCTAGCTTTACATCAAGTTTGAATCCCCGTCTGAATTACTGCTATTGGTATAGCTCTGTAATGACAGTCATGCCCCTGCTCTCCATTCTAAACTTTTTATATATTTCCCGCGAATAATTGTGAGAAAAGAAACGAGATTTTGTTCTGCATTTGGTTATAAATTAAATATATTTTTAATAATATATATATATATATATCATTTAAATGAAGGAAAAAATAGTAAATTACTTTAGATATATTAAATTTTACTCATTGATTTGTTCATACCAATAAACTTTTAGTTTTGTCAACTATAACATTGAATTTTAGTTTTAGATTCAATTATGTCACTCAACTATTAAGATAGTAACGAGACGATAACATGGTTAACAGTTGTTGATGTCGCTTGTCATACCAATATGATATCATTTTGGCGAGACTATTGATGCTCAAAATGATATTATTTTAAGCATTAAACTTTATTACTGTATTGATTTTACCACTAAACTTTTAAACAATTTACTTTTTGGCACTACACTTTTTTATTGTTGTCAGCAACCAATTATTTCTCATCGTTAGTCATATTTTGCGATAAGATCTTAAGATTGATTTTCACGAAATCCAATCAAAATCGACGAAGAACTATTTAAAACTTTGATGCATTAATACTCTATTAACTTTTAATTATCGTTCGATAAGACTAGTTTTGAGGTATGTCGTTCGTATTCTTGAAATAATGCTTCTCACATTCAAAATTTTGAACAAACACTCAAAATCTTATAAATCTAAGAAAGTATCTAAACATAAAAAATTGTATAATTTTTAAATTTTGTCGATTTTGAGTTGGTTTCGTAGAAAATTGTTCTTATGAGAAGAATAAGGAGTGAAATGTGAACGTTTTGATTTTGATTTTACCGTGAAAGATGATCGATGATGGGTAGTGATTGGTTGTTGACGACAGTCAAAAAGTGCAGTGTCAAAAAAGTAAACTATATAAATTTTTAGTGACAAAAATAATATATTCCTAAAATTTAGTGTCTAAAATGACGTTTTATGCATCAAATCAATCGCACCAAAATAACGTCGTTTTGATTTGGTAGGTTACGTCAATAATCATTAATCATATCATCATGCCATTAGTGATTTAATGACGAAGTGTTATAATTGAATATAAAACTAAAATCTAATGGTAGAATTGATAAAATTAAAAGGACAATGATATAAGTGAGTCAATAGATAAAGCTTAATGATATATAGTGTAGTTTAGTCAAAAGAAAAATGGTTGGGATAGAACAATATGGGTTTGTATAGCTGGAAGGGTGAAAGATAGGTCCCCGGGCACAGATGTCCCAGAACAGCTAAAAGCAACTTTTGTATTTATAAGGGAAAGTAGGTTCGAAAGCTGGTCCGAGACACGCGTCTTATGTTACGCCCAGTTGTCCGCTACGCTACGCATTTCTCCTTTCCACTTTTAATTTCATCTTCATCTTCATCTTCATCTTCATCTTCATCTTCATCTTCATCTTCATCTTCATCCCCTACTCTCAACAAAATTCCAAACTTTAATTTAATGCTTTTACCCTTCATCTATCTTTCTCTGAATACCCAATCCCCTCCTGCTGCTCTTTTTACTGTCAATCTACTATCTCATGTCAATTGGGGTTTTCTTTCCTATAAAATATCACATAAAGTATTATTAAACAAAGTTCAAATCAAAATATATCACATTTTATTATTGTATCATTTACGTTTTTCTTTTGTAAGATTTTCATTGCAGTCAAGACTTCCGGAGAACATTCTTGAATACAAGGAAATTATCAACTTTTTATATGATTTTTGACAAATTTGTAAGAGTTAAAAATTAATTTATAATCCAACACATTAATTAAACTTACTAATAACTAGGTAATATTCGGGGTTATTTTAAAATCTCATGATAAACAATGAGAGAATGATTGCGGGAGGTTCTGTTGTGAGGTAGATTAATATAATGCTAAAAATAGTTTAATTAGTTAAATAGGTGATCAGTTAAAAGCACTATCTGAAATGTTATTTGTGTTGATAATAATAATAATAATCGGGAATATTATTGCCGTATGTAAAATGCATCAAAAATATTGGCTTTAACATAACTAGTTAATTACTGAAAATATTATCAATCATAATAACATAACATGTAGCGCTTATGTAACGTAATATGTAGCACATTTTTAAAGATGATGGGGCCTTAGAAATCCGACGATAACAAAATATGTTAATTACTTCATTTTTTATCAATATTATCAACAAATTATGTAGCGTCTAAAATATTACCAAAGTTTAAGCTGATTGAGCCTTAGAAATCTGACGATAACAAAATAGGTTAATTACTGGAAACATTATCAACCATAATAACATAACAAGTAGTGTTTATTTAATGTAATAGGTAGCGCCTTTTTAAAGCAGATGGAGCTTTAAAAATCCGACGATAACAAAATAGGTTAATTACTTAAATTGTTATTAATATTATCAACATATTAGGTAGCGCCTAAAATATTATCAAATTTTAAGTTGATGGGGCCTTAGAAGTCCGACGATAACAAAATATGTTAATTATTTATTTTGTTATTAATATTATCAACATATTAGGTTGCGCCTAAAATGTTAACAAAGTTTAAGTTAATAGGGCCTTCGAAAACCCACGACAACAAAATATGTTAATTTATTATTTTGTTATAAATAAATATTAACATACTAGGTTGCACCCAATAATGTTATTTTGAATAAAGAAGTAGGTTGCAATATGGAATATTAAAGTTGTGTTAATTATATCGGTAGGATTTAATATATTACGTATCTTTGGATGACAATTATTTCTAAAATAAATATCAATACGGCTATGATCTGATAGTCAATACTTTAGCAAATATTAATACTTTTAGAGTACGGATACATTATCATTAACCTTTAGAGTATCCGTACTTTTAGAGTAAATAACTTAACCTTTAGAATATTCATACTTTTAGAGTAAATATCCATATCTTTCGAATTTAAAAAAAAAAAATTTCAAACGGTTAAGTTGTATATATTTTACCATTTACATTACTGTCGAAACAGTATCCATACTTTTAGAGTAAGTATTTATTATTAACCTTTAGAGTATCCATACTTTTAGAGTAAGTATCCATACTTTCGAATTTTAAAAAAATATTTCAAAAGGTTAAATTGTATATATTTACCGTTTACATTATTAGTAAACTTTAAACAAACAGTTAGGCATTTTGACGTAATAGATAGCGCCTATTTTATTTTACTGTTTACATTATTATTAACACTTAAACAAACCAGTAGATAATTTAATGTAATAGGTAGTGCCTGTTTAACATAATAGGTAGTGTCTATTTTATTTTACCGTTTACATTATTAGTAACCTTTAAACAAACCGATAGGTATTTTAACGTAACAGGTAATGCCTATTTTATTTTACCGTTTACATTATTAGTAACTTTCAAACAAACCGGTAGGTAGTTTAATATAATAGGTAGCACCTATTTTATTTTAACAGGATAAGTTTTAAATATAAGTGTCGATACATACAATATAGGTATGGATACTTTTTCAGGATAATAGTTAGACATAGCTTACTGTCAAAACAATATTCATATTTTTAGAGTAATTATGAATATAGAAGATATTCAATTTATGTTTCAAAATTTTTTTAATAGTTCATCATGTTTTCCACCTACAACATTAATTTAATAATTTCATTTGCACAAAAAAATTATTTGATTATTTAGATTTCTTATAAAATATTATTTAGAATTTAAATTTAACAAATTTACCTAAAGATAATAATAAATATGTAATATCTATGTTTATTATTTTTAATTTAATAATAATATATTTTGTAACATAAAAATACACCATTAGACACTTGTAATTACTAAATTAATAACTTAAAACTCACTTTAAAGATAACTCTAAATTAATATTTTCCACAGTGAATTAAGTATGTATACTTATATATATATATATATATCGATACCTACTGATGCCAAAGTTTACCGGTTATCAATTTTTTTAATAGTTCTTCATGTTTTCTACCTACAACATTATGAGCATGTCAACATTTTCGGTAGTGCTTTACCGAATTTGTTAATTATCTTATTAAATTTTCGGTTACGCCATTTCTTAGTCGTATATTAATCCGTCTTTCCTAAGAAAAACCCTAATGATTTCATATTGTTAGGAATTTGAAATTGAAAAATAATTACATGGAATTTAACATAAAATAGGACATACACAAAAAATAATATTTGACATGATTTAACTTTACCTAACTTCAAAGATAAGAAGTACAATAAATCATTGTAGATATAGAGCTCACAAAGGGTACAAATATAATATCTCAAGTATCCTCAAATTCAACGTCTATATCAAATTTCAAAGTATCATAAATCATTTTTCAATATTCCTAAAAAAAATCATCTATTCCACATAAATTTCAAAACTTACAAAAGATATAAAATGATTACATCCATCAAAAATAATTCTCTCACCTCATTCTACTGATATATATTCTGTACTTATATAATCAAATATTTGATTATTAAATATTTTTATTTTAAAAAAATCTTACTTAAAATAAGTATCTAATTATCAAATAAACTCAATTACTAAGTAATCTTAAACTATTAGAACAACAATAAAATCTAATTTAATTGTCTATTATAAATCCGGTTAGAATATAACATATACTTTTATTTTCACTTTACATCATCTCCTTCCTCACGAAAATAGAAGATCGCGACATCATTCGATTATCGTTTAACCTCAGACTGTAATTTTCGTTTAAATTAAAAGAAATCAATTGTATACCATCGCGTTAATTTAACACGTTTGCATCCTATGTAAAATACACGTGTGGAAAAAATACCTCAAACCTATATATTAACCATTTCAGTACTCTA